AGAGCATGCCACTTCATTTGGCGGCTCTCCCTAATCATGGTTTATTGGGGCAATATTTTTGTAAATACTTATAACTCAATGTTAATTTCGTAAATAATTTTATTTTTACCATTATTTTTGTAACTTCATTTTATGATTAAGTTACTATTATAGTCGCTAGTTATATTTATGTAAACAATCTTGATTTTAGTCATATATATATGTAATTATTTCATTGATTAAATCCTTGTAAATTTTTATTCTACATCAACTTTTAGCCAAAAACATTTTACAAAAATCCGAAGATCCTATTGCTAGAGTTTTATAAGTTCAAAATTTTTCTGAAGCTGGTCTGATTGTTAAAATTAAGATCTCATAATTATTTTATACATTTTGCATTTATTTTTTCAAGAAAAGACATGGAACAACAAAAATGGTTTATAATTGGGTTTATCGACGACATGAATATAGAGTTTCCATTTAAACTGGTTGAGAATTGAGTTTCCATAGTTGAAAGTAGCTTTCCACCATATATGGTCTTCAGATTTTTTAAAAATTTTATATATCAATATTGGTGTCATATGAAAGATCACAAAAAATTAGGAAATTTAATATATTTTTTTTTGGTAAAAGTTGGAACAAAAATATTAAAGTTATAGCACTTTAAAACAAAAATATATTTTTGATTTTATATGGGCCCACCACCTGCTCCTCATATATCTTCTTTCCCCGGCTACCTTCGTAGTTCTGCGCACGTTTGAAGAAAGTCGCCACTTTGTTTGGCGATTCTTGCTAACCATGGTTTAGCCCAGCAGTATTTTATATGGGCCGACCACCTGCTCCTCATATATCTTCTTTCCTCAGCGAGCTTAGTAGTTTTGGGCACGTTTGAAGAGAGTCAACACTTCGTTTGGCGATTCCTGCTAATCATGGTTTAGCCCAACAGTATTTTCGTAAATAGTTTTAACTTGACCCTGATTTTGTAAATAATTTATTTTAGCATTATTTTGGAAAAAATCTCGACATTTTGTGTATAGCTGTAAGCTTGTAAGTACCCTTCTCCTTGAAAAACTTTTACCCCATCATTTGATTTTTCTCCATTGAAATACCTGCCGCATACTTGCTATTGCACATCACAAGTCCCACATATATTTCTCCATTTTAGTTTCTTCCAAGTCTGCTTCTTACCTTTTTATCCATGACTCCATCTAAGATGAATTCAGCAGTGTAATACGAATGGCTCCTCATAGCTCCTTCTCTCCATCTTCTTTTTCAGGGAGTTCGAAGCACTTCTCAGTTGGCCTCTAAACTTGATCCATGCCTCATCGTGCCTCACAAGTCGTCGATCTTCATCTGCAATTGCCCTTCTAAAAAAATCGAGAAAATCCATGTCTCACTGCAAAGCAAATGTATGCAAGCTATTTTTGTATTGAAGGGCATTTATGTACATTAATTAAATTTTATATTTGAAATCACTTATATATCAAACATTCCAACTTTTACAATTTAATTCAAATCACTTCTATTTCCAAACACTATCAATTTCTACTATAAATTACTTTTCCGATCATCCCTTCATTAAATCACTTTTCAAAAACACAATCAAATACAAAGTTACAAACACAACCTTAGGCGGATACTCCATAATGATCCTTATTATATAGTATAAACTCACATTCTTCTATGTTAAGCAGTCCGAACAATGTAAATAACATGTATAAATTTATAAACATATATACTCCACATGTCATTATTTTCTATTTCAGAAAACAATTAACACTCTTTCCGAAAATGAGTCGATTTGGAAATTAACCTTAGGCGATTCAGGAAATTTTACTAACCATACACCTAATAATATAACCTGTACACTTAATTTTAGAATTCTTCACGAATCCAACTTCCCGGGAATCCCTGACTAAGGTAACCCTTGGACAAAGGTCGCAAGCTAGAGGATATCATCGACGGGTTCTGTACGAGGGGTCACGGCCTTTGGATTTCACCTTGCCTTGGTTCCTGAGCGAAGTGATTCCAAGAGTTTGGTCGCTGAATATGTGACTAATGATGTGGCTGTTGCATGCTCCCATTCTATGGTTGCTTTAGTCGGCATTGGTGTAGTTGGTCTGATGGTGAAGTGGCTGGTGTCTGATGCTGACCATTGGAGGCGGCGGTTTGTGTGGCCATTAGATGAGTGTCATGCGTAGTGACCATTGGAGGGGTTGCTATATATACCCCCCTTTCCGAAGCATTTCCCTCACTTTGCTTTCGAGAAGTAACGGAATGCTGCCGGATTTTCTAGGGAGATAAAGCATTCTTCCTGTTCTTCAAATATCCAAGGCCAATTCATTGTTCGTTCTTCATTTTCACCTCACACTTTGCTTTTTTTAGAGGTTAGATCTAGTGTTTATAGGGAAACTCATTTAGATCCGGAAAAATCCCCCTTAGGATTGGTTGGTAGTTATGCATTCCCCGATAGTCGTCGTATTCCCAACCCCATGCATTGACTTAACAACTTCTTTGGACAAAGAATATCATCCCTTTGACAAGGACAACACATCCTTGAGAATTACCCTCAAACTAGTAGTGCAGTTCGACGCTGAGATGGATAATATCAGTGAGTATCAGTGAGAATTACCCTTCCATTCCCTGATAATCTTAAGCGCTTCAACCTACAACTACCATCTAGGTGTACTCTCTGCCGGGGGAACCAGGAAACCCAGAATCATGTTTTGTTCACATGCACTAACACTAGCCCTGTTTGGGATTACTTTTCTGGTATTTTGCAGGTAAGAAGAACTCAACACGCAGACCTAAGACAAACTCTATTACTATGGTGGCTGGGGGGAAATGCAACAATACAAGAGACATTTTAAGACAGTCCATGCCCGACATCATTTTGTGGCACATCTGGAAGGAATATAATGCATGTATTTGGGATGGAAAAGTGTTCTCCATATCATACACCATTAACTCAATCAAGGACTACACAAGAAAGTGGATTTACACCAAGCAACACACCAAAGGAATTCAGTTTGATGAGGAACTACACTGTGACGGACTACTTCCTTTACTAAAAAAAGAAGCAAAACTCACATTAGACTGAAATGGAAAAGAGTTGGAAGTGAAGACCTTACGCTGAACACAGACGCAACGTTTTTGGCCAATAAGAGTGCTGGTGGCGCAATATTGCGTAAAGCCGATGGCACTTTTCTACACACCATAGCCTTCCCAGTAGTAACATCCAATCCTCTGTAAGCAGAACTTTTGGCAATGGAAACCTCTATCACATAAATGATTACAAAGGGTTACAGAAATTTCAATGTTCAAACAGATTCAGAAGTTAGCACCAACATTTTACATGGCTTTTCGAAATTACCTCCGTACTTGGCGAGACCGATGCTGAACATAAACCGTCCCAGGATCGCGAATGGTCTCTCTCTCTGCTACCGACCGAGGGAAACTAACGGATGTGCTCATCATCTTGCACGGTCCGATCTTCGTCCCCAAGCAATGCAAGCTTACGATCTCCAAGCTCACCCGTTCAGAGCACTTCACTCCTTCCACAAAGACAAACACAAATCTTCTTACTTTCGGGACGCAGGATGAATCAATGAAGGACTGATGTTGAAAGTTCGGAATATCGTCAGCATCGTCTTCCTCTCGTTCTCTCTTTCTCTAATCGGAATAAGATGAAAACCCTAATGCTTGGACCAACATTCCCTTCCTTGGACTTATTATGTTCGATCACATAGTTGCTTGGACTTATGCGCACTATTGGAGCAGACCCCCAAATTCTATCATTTGCATTTAGTTAGTTTTAAGCCCACAAGGCTTTTCTATTTCCATTTTCAATTTTAACTTTTTCATCATCTTCATGTAATTCAGATTTTTGGAATTTATATATTAGGTAAATGTTACCCGACATTTACCCCACCATCACTGGTGATTTTTCAGGCCCAAAAAAAGGAGGATGAAACGAGATATCATAGAGAGTGGTGCAGATCCCAGGACCCCACAGACTTCCTAAAAAACACCTATACACTGTATATATTATACTATTTTATACTTCTTGCGCCCCATTGGATTATGCCAACTTTTCATTTTTTATTATCTTAAATAACTTTCTTATTAAAGTAACAAATTTATGGATCCATTTATTTCTCTCTCCTCAGCACAAACATCAATCACATAGTTACAACTTTTCTTATTTCTAAAGTGCGAGTTCGAAGCTTCCCTTCTCGCATAGGAATAGGGGTCAATTTCCTCAAACCCCTTATTTTCATAAGCTTAGAGCTCATTTGGTGAGTATGTTTTTTTGGCTTATAAGACTTATTAACCAAATTTTCACCAAACACGTAACTTTTGATTTTACAAACTAAATTGTGTAATAATAAGAAAAAATAAGATTAAAGTTACTTTTCTGGCTGAAATAACTTAAGTTACCGGAGATATCATTTCAACTATTTTTTTAATATAATTTTTTCTTTATATTACTAATTTTTTTTTTTAAAATATAATATATTAATAAATCAGGAGAATCAATAGCCTTAGGGCCTGTTTGGATGGAGTGTTTGGAAGTGTTAGTAATGGAAGTGTTAGTAAGTGTTAGTAAGGGCTCGGAAGGGAAGAGAAGTGTAAGTGTTAGACATAATTTTACCTTGTTTGGGAGAGTCAAATGAATGAAGTGTTAATAATGGAAGTGTTAATAATTTTACCTTGAGGCAAAAGAAACGAGTAAAGAGAAGAGATGAAAAAACAAACCATCAGACCCGTGGGAAAGACATTCGAAGTGAAATGTTGAAGCATTTTATGTTTTTCGGGTAAATGAGAAGGGTAATAATTGTCCAACACCTCAAAACACTCCAAATCGGGGTGTTAAAAAAATGGACAATTGAGGTGTTGGGAAGGTTATTATTAACACTTCCCAACCATTACTAACACTTCTTAACACCTCTGGATTTTTCTCCCAAACAAGTGTTAACATCAACACTTACTAACACTTCCATTACTAACACTCCTCAACACTCAATCCAAACATGCCGGGAGAACTTATATTTCAGCAAATTACTTCATTGTTTCTTTTAAATCCCTAATAACTGCACACAATAGTACGGACCTCCACAGACCACATCAACCCATCCCACCTCCCGTTTCAGAGCTCGACAACCTCAACTGCTGCATCAGTTCATCGCGCATTCAGCACGAGTCGCGACGCCTCGACCGCCTCCACGCCGCGCCGCCGCCAGACGACCACCAGACACCCCGCGCCCAGTTCGACCGGCCAGACTAACAATCCGACACGCGCACGCCCAGGTTTTGATGTTTACCCTTTACAAATTCAATAATTTCATTTTTTTTTTGATTAATTATTAAAATTTCTTTGAATATTAAGATGAAATTATTAAATTTATGTATTTACAGACTAGAAAATTAAGGAAGGAAGAATATTTATTTGGTAATTTTATACGGAGTATTAATTAAAGTATCTCTGAGCTAACAATTATCAAATACTCCCTCCGTCCCCAAAACAAGTTTCCCATTGCATTTCACACATATTAAGGAAATAAATTTAATGGGGTAAATGTTACTGTTCTTACACTGTTTCAACACTGTTTGACACTGTTTTTATGTAGATTATTTGCCAATTAAGGAAATGTATTGAAAGGGGAACTTAATTCAGGACTGCCCAAAAAGGAAAGGGGAACTTGTTTCAGGGACGGAGGGAGTATGTACTTTTGTACAATTTATACAATTAATTATCCTTGAAATGAATTGTTTTCATAAATAAATTATCTTTTTATTTTTATCTTACTTATGTTATTATGTTATTTTTATCTTATATTTTTTCTTTATCTTATTTATTTTATCTTACTTTATCTTCTTATTGTTCTTATCTTTCTTCTCTTTTTGGCTCTTATATCATGGATCGATTCATTTTAGTTGAGCCCAAAATTTTTTGGAAACAAGGCTTGGATGTTGTTGTTGTAGTCATATACGCGTGCACCACACGAGTTGATTTACCAGTAATAGAAAAGAATGAAATCAAAGTATAACAAAAAATTAATAGATTGGGTAACGGGACAGGTATGTATAAAATCGTAACTGCCCATTACTTGAAAAAGATAACTCTTATTCTCTGGTTGTACCCGTTACTCGGTCAATGTGATTTTTCCCCTTCTACTAGAGCGCTTTGGTACGGATATCCGTCCAGTCGTTCCAATCGCCATCCCTAATTTGAAATTACCCAACTTCACATTCTACGTAACTTACATCTGAACCCAACTAATTATTTCCACAATTATTATTACACTGAAGAAACTTCCAATCTTTTCCCTTCATCTCTGACATCCAATTCTACAAGCCCAGGTACTCCGTTTTCTACACCTCGTACCTTTATGTTAATTGCTCGCCACAAATATTTAGCCTGGTTTCAATTTCCTAGCAGTGATGCACAATTTAATGTGTTCTTAGCATGAATAATTTCTTGGTTTACTGTAAAAATATCCAAATATGCACCACCACTTTAGAGATCTTCTATTAGCTTTATACAGTGGAAGATGTGTGTGAAACATTAAAGTACTGATATTATTTTCATGTTGGAGATAAGTTATTGTGTTGTTATATACTACATATAATATATATACTACGTACTATTTTTGAATTTTACTATTTTGTTTGTGTATTTATTCATAACAGACTGATTTCACCGTTTCTAAATCTGTTTTTAAAATATTGGGAATATCCATTTTACACAAACATACTATCTCCATCCCACTAGCATTGGGACATGAGGAGGTGGTGCGGTTATTAAGAAAAATGAATTTATGTGGTTGATATTGGATTGATAAAGTAAGAATAAAGTAAAAATGATTTAGAACCACACAAACTTTACCAAATTTGGTATGTGACAATCTTAGTGGGACATAGGAAGTATGTATTTTGATTAGGAAATCTGCATTAGCCAAAGAAGAACATGATAGAGGCTGGAGTGCCACTCAAAAATTGAACTTTTAGTTCACCTGTAGAGTGAAACCACACACTATAAAAGACACTGCTCTATATTCACCCCTCCATTCTTTGGTTGAGAATAGATTTCAATGGGTTTGAATTGTACTACTAGGTAGCACAAAACAGCTGCCATTATTGATACAGTGAGTTATTTGTAGCAAGTTATTTGTAGCAGATTAAAATTTGAAAAGTAAATCTTAAACATTTGACACGCACTTTAGTTATGTGCTCTTTTACTGGATTGCCTACCTTTTTGTTACTGTTTTTTGGTTAGTTTAGCAGTTAACTTGGCAAAGGAAAGTGCATTAATATATATCAATAGACATTATACATCGATGAATACAATTATTATATAACTCTACAACTACTTGGCTCTCAATCCACATGGTCAGTCATCACTTGTTAATTTATTCCCATAATTTCAGGAAGTTCATACTAGAAATGTCTTTTCCTGCTAGTGCTATTGCAAGCCCTTCTACATTTCCAACAGGTATGTTGATAATCATGTCTATTATTAATTATGGTTCTTGAAGTGCGGCCGTATTATTTAGGAGATAATATTATAGCCATTCACTGTAAACTACCAAAGTACATTTTTATTTATGAAATGCGATACAGCATCCGAGCCTTATTCCCCCCAAAAATTTAGGATCAGCTAACCTGAATCGACACATCACCTATGATATAAGAGTTAAAAACATTAGATAGAAAAAGAGATAGACATACGATATACGAAGTAAGAGTGATCTTCTATAGTGTCATATAGTATGCTCTTCCTTCACTTCACTTTCTCCGAAGTCATAATCTCATCTAACTCAAGTAGTATCATATCATTCTTGACCACACTAATTCACGTCTCTCTAGGTCGGCTCCTTACTCTCTTCCCTCCCTTTTCTCCCATCTTTCAATCCGCCTAACATGTGCATCATTCGGTCTTCTACTCACATGATCAAACCATCGTAACCGAGACTCACATTTTACGTTCAATAGACGCCTCTCTCGCTTTTCGCCTGAAGGTCTCATTTTTCAAGTGTTTTTCCGAATGTCATTTATCCAATGCAACATATGCATCTAATTCTAATTCACACTCATTTTGTGAATATGACATTGTTTCACTGCTCACCACTCTATGCCGTACCCCAATGTTACCCTATTCGTTGTTCAATAAAATTTACCCTTCAGTCTAGTTGACATACCCCGATCACAAGAGATCCTAAAACACTCTTTCATTTTATCTACTCTGCATTAGTTCTAAGAGATACATCTCCATCTAATTCACCGTTCATCTGAATTATGAAGTTCATGTAACGGAACATATCACTAAGTGGGATCTTAGTACCATATCACTAATCGGGATATCCATATAATCCGAGGTAATCTCATTGTTTCTGCCACCATTAAACTTGCACTACACATACTCAATCTTGCTTCGGTTCAACACGAAACCATCGCCCTCCAGACTGGGTTCATGTTCAGAGTCTTCAGACCATCATGGAGTACATCATGAGGCCCAATAGCTTTTTCACCGGATCATGGTTTTAAAAGGAAAGCGGGGCTTAGGTCTTTGAGGCACTAAGGCATGCAAAAACGCTCCCAAGGCTATACGCCTTAGTTGACTATTATGAGGCTTACCCCTTAAGGTGCTTGAAATGGAAGCACGGGAAAATCTGGAGTCTAGCCCTGTTAAGACTTAAGAGTGGATTAGTTTTTAATACATTTTGAGCTAAATTTTTAAGCTATTAGGCCTCAGGATATTGTGGACATGAAACCAGTCTGGCCCTCTCATATCTTTTGGTCTAGCTTCAAGGAAAGTTCATTCTCTGGCTTTAAAAGCTAATGCTCTGGACATGAACCCAGTCATACCTTTAGGCCATGAAGTGCGACATGCTAGAGAAACTATGAAGGCATAAAGAAACTGTCTTCTGGACTGTGAGACATATAGAAACTCTCATAGATGTCCATGTTCACCACCATGCACAAACATGTGCTCATCAAATGCCCATAATTGGTTGAGTTCATCCCGAGCATCTATTCTACTGATTGGCAATTTGTAATTGACGTTGTTTCCTAAAAAGGATGGCACCCCATCCCTAAGTTGAACTTTGATCTCACTCAGATGAAAAGAGAGTTGGGTACCATCCCAACTCATTGCTTGGAGTTGAACCCATAACCTCTCCCTTGTGGCACCCCCTTCCTACCAGGTGAGCCGCGCCCCCGGTAATTGACGTTGTTTCCTAAACATTATTGAGGTGTGATCATTCTCATAGATCAACTTCCTTCCTCCATTTTTGACATCATGAGATAAGACAACCCCGCTTCTTGTTTTTACTTTCATATTCTTCTGTCATTTGAAAAAATAGAGAGGATGCAGCACTTGAGCTCATGGCCTAGGGTATAGGAAACTGGATGTCTCAATCTTGCCAGTTGCGTAAAGGATCATTACATGATTATTTACACTTTCAACTTTGACAAAATCCTATCTACTCCAATAGCAGACCCCCCAAATTAAATAAAAAATAAATAAAAAGACACTTATTTGATGAAGGTACAAAATTTTAATTTTCCTAAGATAGAATTGCTATAAATCATTAATCCTAGTCTTGTTTTTATATTCTTTTAAAAGAAATTGCCCTAAATAGGAGTAAAACGTTTGTGAATTCCAAAATAGGAGTACTATGTTTTTATTCTCTAAATAGGAGTAATTACTAATTACTGTCATGTTTTAGTATTACCAGCTTTTAATCATGGTAATATTTTCCAAGCTCGGCAGCATTTACTCTTATTTAAGCAGTAAAAACATAGTACTCTTATTTTGGAATTCCAAAATGTTTTTACTCCTATTTCAGTAGTTTTCCCTTCTTTTAATTGTTTTTTCGTTTTACTGAAGTTATCACACACAACTTGTATGCGACATGTTTTGGCAAATTACACGAAAAGAGCTGTCTGCTGAGTTTGATAAAGCAGGACCTTATTATAGGATTGATGGAGTGTTTTTTGTTGGCGAATTGGTATAAGAATGTTATTGGGTGCATGTCTAAGTTATGCTGTGTATGATTAGGCATTGTTTAAAAACATATTTTGTGCTAGCAGGGTCTCAAGTGTGTAAACAGCTTACCAAACATATTGCATTTGTTCCAGTTGGACTAAAGCCTCTTTATGCAAAATCACAACTCAGGCAATACAGAAGAAATATAATATGTACTGCACAGGGGGGACGTACTTCCATAATTTGTTCAGCTGCTCTGGTAATTCATTTTTCTAATCTGCTGTTCTTTACTACGTGCATAAAATTGATTTGCTGATCTCTTAGCAGTCGGGTAGTTCAGTAGTATTATAATTCCTTTTTAGATGGGCAATCTTTTTTGACCAAAAAAAAGATGGGCAATCTTTTAATACCATGCTGGCATGCTGCCTTTTATTGAAGAAAAGTTTCCACTTTGGTCCCACGACCATATCATCATTCCCACTGTTAATTTTCATTGGATCATTGTTTAAAAAAGGCAGTTGAGGCTTACACCTCTGAGGCACTAATGTGTGAAGAAAATGCTCCTAAGGCTTACACCTCATTCGACTGATATGAGACTTATGCTTAAGGAGTTTGAGGCGCAGAAGTGTGAAGCTTAAATGCACTAAGGCTTATTGAGGCTCAAGCCTCAATATCATAGGGGAAATCTGGAGTCTTTCCATGTAAAGGCTGGATTTGTTTTTATACATGTTGGGATCTGGAGTCTTTCCATGTAAAGGCTGGATTTGTTTTTATACATGTTGGGCTAAATATTCAAGCTATTGGGCCTCATGATATTCTGGACATGAACCCAGTCCTACCTATCTTTTGGTCTAGCTTAAGGAAACTTCGTTCTCTAATTTTAAGCTATGCTCTGGACATGAATCCATTCTTACCTTTAAGCTCATTGGAAAAAGTGAAGTTATGGACCAAAAGTGAGAATGACCAAATAGCTTTGGGACCTGATTCCCTGAAGTGGAAAATTTATCTCAATTAATTATGCTGTTAAATAAGGAATAAATGCTTGCCGAATAGATGCAAAGCTCCTGAAGGCTGGATATTGCATCTTCTTATGTGATGCTGGATTGCTGGTAATGCTTCTAGGATTTATTTGGTTGAAAGAGGGTTAAGAAAGAAGGGGAAAAGAAAGAGTGTTAGAGGAAAGAAAAATAAAAAATGTGAGCAAGTGGATTTTATACTACGCAATACATAATTGTTTGGTAGGAGGGAATAAGAAGAGTGATATGAAGCGGGAAGAGCATGGGGCGGGACGGGCTTGAGCCCACCTTCGTGGGCTGGCTGCGAGCAATTTAATTAATTTTAATTATTCCTTTTATTTTGTTTCCTAATTTATTTTGTTTCCTAGTATGATTTAATTAGGACTTCTATTAATTAGAGGTTTCCTATTTCTATTTAGTTTCCTTGAATGGTTTAATTAGGACTCCTATTATGTTTCTTACTAGGATTTAGTTTCCTATTCAGTTTTGGATGTAAGGGTTATATAAACCCCTGCCTAGGCTTATTCAAATCAGGCATTAATAATATTGGTTTTAGTTATTTAGCTCTGGGCAACGGATCCAGCCGTTGATTATTTTGGGCAACGGGTTACCCCGTTGATTTTATTTTTCTGTTCTTATCAATTGGTCCGACCTGCCGGATCCCGTCCCGCCAAGATGACGAGATCTCAGAATGATCGATTGACAGAGCTGGAGAACGAACAAACTCGTATGAGAGAAGAAGTGACCTGGATAAGGGCCGAACAGGCAGAGCATGGTGGCAAGCTGTCGGAGATCATCGCCTCACTAGCGGCGTTGACCCAGGCGATGGTCCCGCCGGTCACACCGAAGAAAGCCGCGGATGACGTGGGTCGAATCCCGGCAACCAAGCTGCATGGAGAAGGCGTGCTGAGCAATCCAACTATAACGCTGCTTCCGTCGTTTGATGGGGGAGACCCAATTGGGTGGATTGCTCGGGTAGAGCAACAGTTCGAATTACACAACACTTTACCGGAAAAGAAGGTGGCTGCCGCGATGGAAGCTATGGAAGGAGGAGCGCTTTACTGGGTGACCTGGCTGAGATCGCGCAGGCCTGGGATGACTTGGGCAGATTTCAAGCAAGCCTTGGTGGACAGATTTGATTCTTGATTTCAGGGGAATAAGTATGAACGATTGTCCGGAGTCAGGCAAATTGGGTCTATAGAAGATTACAATATCTTGTTTGTTCAGCTAGCAAGCCAAGTTCTAGGGTTACCCGATGAGCACTATTTGGGATATTACATGAGCGGTCTTAAGGAGATAATCCGAAGCTCGCTGCGATTGCTCCGACCAAACAACCTGGAGATGGCTATGGAATTAGCTCGCGAAGTGGAGTATAATCTGTTCGTCCAAAGTGGAGAAAGTGGCAGCCTGAATTATCATTCATCAGGGGTACGTTCTAGCAGCCTTTTAAGGGCAAACACAGGTTCCCCGTTGACTGCCATTGGTGGCAACTTACAGGGTTCGGAGGGCAGCTTTGCGAAAGATAGTGGACAGCCTCCGGGGACGAAGTCAGGGTTGTCTGGGCAGCCTACGACACGCTCTCAGTTCACTCGACTTCCGCCGAAAGAGTTTGCAGAATTGCGGGCGAAAGGATTATGCTTTAGGTGCAAGAAACCATTTACACCAACACATGACTGTCCCTTTAAGCAGCTGCGGGTAATGATAGTTGAGGAGGATGAAGAGTTGGACCTCAAGCAGCATGAATTCTGTGAAATAACCGGCCAGGAAAAGGTCCCGGAAAGAGAAGAAGGATATTTTCCAGTCTATACTATGTTTGGAAATTTCAGTTCCCGATCCGCGAGTTTTCAACCTTGAGGATGGATTGATATGAAGCTGGAAGAGCATGGGGCGGGACGGGCTTGAGCCCACCTTCGTGGGCTGGCTGCGAGCAATTTAATTAATTTTAATTATTCCTTTTATTTTGTTTCCTAATTTATTTTGTTTCCTAGTATGATTTAATTAGGACTTCTATTAATTAGAGGTTTCCTATTTCTATTTAGTTTCCTTGAATGGTTTAATTAGGACTCCTATTATGTTTCTTACTAGGATTTAGTTTCCTATTCAGTTTTGGATGTAAGGGTTATATAAACCCCTGCCTAGGCTTATTCAAATCAGGCATTAATAATATTGGTTTGAGCTATTTAGCTCTGGGCAACGGATCCAGCCGTTGATTATTTTGGGCAACGGGTTACCCTGTTGATTTTATTTTTCTGTTCTTATCAAAGAGAAAGAAGTGCAGGCTGCTATGGAAATGACGAATTATGATATCCCTACAAGTAAAAATATATAACGAGGAGGTAGATGGTATGAATGGAAAAAACACTAAAAAGGGATCCCCCCTTCCTTCTCATGGGAGGAGAGAAGGTAAAAGCTCGTGTGATCTCCAATTTCTCTCTTACACACACACACTCTATATTCTCATTACTAAACAAGAAGATAAAATCACAGTTTCTCTTTTTTCTTCAATAAAAGAAAGATTTATCCGGAAACAATCTGTCGGTGCTTTAACACAGGGGTAAGACTGCGTTCATCTGACCCCCTTTACCCCACCATAGGTGGGAGCCTTTGCGGCACTGGGGTAATGATGATGATGAAAAGAAAGGTTTAATAGCTTTATGGTAACTATATGGTGAGTGCTGCAGTACCTTATAAATAAATGAGTGTACTGTACCTACAATACATATGATTGGTCTTAGTCATTATCTCACCACTTATTAATATTTAAATTGTTTAATTGCAATATTCTAATTGGTCCATGTGGGCAAGGTAGGGAACCTATGATAGGGATTAATTATTTCTTAAAACATGAGCATTTTTTCAAAACTGTTCAATGTTCATTACCCTTGGCAAGGTTTTGAAAGGCTAAAATTAGCCTCTAGGCGTTTACTTCACTCACAATGTGCAAGCCTATAGGCGAACCGAGCCTAGGCATAAGCCTTACGTTTAACTAAAAAATATTATACAATTTTGTATAGCTCATTTATGTCTGGAAAACATAAATGGGGAAGTCCTAAATAATATAAATGACTATTTAGTGCCTGATAACAAATATAATTGCATAGTAAAGTTATACTCCGTAGAATTCATTGAAGATGCGAAATAACCAAACATTCAAGACAGGTAGTCTTGTAAACACTTAAAAAGTAGCCATAAGATTATTGCTAGGAACTGCTACTGAACCAGCATCGTGCATGGGGGTGATTAATATTTCCTTGTTATATAAAAGCTCTAAACTAATACTCATGTACAATGCAGCTCCTAGAAAAGTAGCAGGACTGGCTGCAAAATAGAGGAGAAAAATGTGTACCTAGTGATCTTAGTGCTTTGCATATTAAAATACTTGGGATGTTTTTACTTGAACTGAAATTTTCTGGTATGGTCTGGTTTTATCTTGCCTGAATTGGTCTGATCTGGTAAATGTCTGGTCTGTGTGTATTTTATAATTGTCCAAGTCTAGTCTGGTGTGGGACTGCAAACAGTCCAAGTAAAAATATCCTTAATTTGTTTAACTAACTCAAAGTAGTCCAGACAGAGACTTTTTGGGCCTGATATGATTAATAAAGCCTGATTCTGAAGTTTTGCTAAACTTTTTATTTGGTAAAATGAGGTTAAGGATGTTTTTACTTGGACTGAAATTTGCTAGTCTGGTTTGGTCTATTTATTTATGGTCCGTGTCTTTTATAACTACGGAAGTCTGATCTATTCTGATTTGGTCTGGTCTGTTATGGGACTGAAAATAGTCCAAGTAAAAACATCCTAAGCCTTAACCGGCGCATGAGGCTTAAAAGCCTTTAGGCACACGGTTCCAACGCCTTCTTGAACCCAATGATTGGATGTTATAACTGCTACCTGTAAGTTTTGCTAAGTGCAGCTAGCTCACATAGTAACCTCTTTTTAATCTGAGCTGTAATTCAGAATGCAAGATGTGCGGAAGGACAAACCCAAACTGTTACTCGTCAATCATCAACCATTACTGTCGCACCTATTCAAGGCAAGTCTTTCACCTTTTTGTCAGCTACTCACATAATTAATAAAAACGCTAGTATCATAGTATGTAATGGTTTTTGTGGAAAGTGTTGAGCTATTTATTTAAGGTATTATTATTTGCAGGAAAGGAAAAATCTCCAGAGCTTGATGATGGCGGAGCGGGATTACCGCCCCGTGATGATGATGGTGATGGCGGTGGAGGTGGTGGAGGAGGCAACTGGTCAGGCGGTTTCTTCTTTTTTGGCTTTCTTGCTTTACTAGGATTGTTGAAGGACCAAGAAAGTGAAAGACCTTATCAAGAAGACAGAAGATGAATGATTTTTTCTGTGTAGTAATATGTTCACTTGTAATTCATCCAAAAAAAATTTGTTCACTTGTAATAGGAAAACTATTACACACTTTTGATCCAAAAGAAATTCAACCTCTCCCATCTTCATAAAAATTACTTCCAAAGACTACCTATGATTTGACAAAAATCGTTGTAAAACAAGATCTAAAACACACGTTACTCTCTTCAAGAAGATATTAAGATTATAAAAGAAGAATTAAAATCTCTTAAACAAAAACAAGAATTTGATTCAGAAATCTTCATATCCTTCTTTCTCAAATCTCAAGTCCATCAAAATTCTTTAGACACAACACGGAGAAGAAGAAAATTGAAGAAAATGAAATTGAAAATTTAGAAGCAATTCCAAATGATTTCTGGTTTGTTTAAGGACCTTAAGAACGAGAAAATATCTATTAAAAATCATTTTGTTTTTTCAGAAGATTTCAAAATTGAAATGATTGCACTTTTTGATACTCGAGCGGATTTAAACTGCTTAAAAAGTTGCATCGTACCAAACAGATTTCTACACAAAACTAGTGGAAAACTTGTGGCTAACACCAACATGATTATAAAAAACAAAATGGAAGCTTCCATTAAAAATGGAAAAATCTCGATCGAAACTCCTTTCGTCCTACTAGAGAATATTAATCATAGTGTCATTGAGGTCTCCTTTCATTAATATAATTACTCCATATTCTGTAAATTACGATAGCATATCTTTTAAAACCACGAAAGACAATTATTTTCCCTTTCTTTGAAAAACCTAGGACAAAAAACTTAAAACCTCCTAAAACGGCTAAAAGTTTGTACCATTTACAAAAACAAGTTAAATTGCATGATTTATGCTAAAGAAAAGCAATTGTACTTTCTCAAACAAGACGTATCTTTCCTAAGAATCAAAGAACAATCACAAAAAAGTTTCGTAAAATAAAAAATTTCAGAGATCCTAAAGAAAATTGAAAAAGAAATTTGTCCTAACATACCAAATGCTTTTTGGGATAGAAACAAGTAAACAACATATGGTAGATTTACCATATGAAAATGATTTCTCTAACAAGTAAATACCTACAAAAACAAGATCGATCCAAATGAATCATGAACTCGAAGAACACTGTCAAATCGAGATTCAAGATTTAGAACAAAAAGGTCTTATTAAGAAATCCAGGTCTCCCTGGAATTGTGCAGTTTTTGGTGCCGTTTGGAGCCTCAAAAATAGGCTTATAAGCCTGAAAGTGTGAAAAAATCACCAAACACCGGCTAAATTGGCTGTTTGGGCTGTTTAGGCTGATCAGCCAAAAAAGTAACGATGGAGTCCCTTTTTCCGCTGAAACTTATTAATTCACTGTAGCCTTCCGTAATGACTCTTTTCCCACTTTCATATATCGATCGACTCCTCCTTCCCCACACCAAATCGACGGCTTCTTCTTCAAATTCTTCAAGATCGATGAGGTATCCATCTGCTCGGCTGTTTAATCTCTCCCTCCAGATCGGTGACTTCAATTCTCTTGCTCGGTTTCTTCATATATTCATCTAAAGGTAAGGTATATATTCTTCTGCTTCAATTTTCGCAAACGGCATACCTATTGTTCTTCTTGGGTAGGCCGGAGGCAAAATTGGCCTGCAATTATCTGCTAGGTGTTCGTTTACAAAGGAGCTATGGAGAAGTGCAGTCTAATTGGTGAAGAGTTTGACGGTTGCAGAATGGAGTTGGATGGGTTTACAGGAAGCTCTAATTTGTGAAAATACCCTTATGGTAATTCTACATCGAATCAGCCATTTCAGCCAATATATTACCAAACACTTTCAATTCAGAAGATTCAGTCTTTTCAGGCTTTTCAGCCGTTCCAGCCCTCGTAGCTGATACCAAACGGGCCCTTTTACGTCAACAGAAATTCTGAAATTGAAAGAGAAACATCAAGACTTGTACTTACTTACAAGCCCTTGAATAATGCCCTCAAATGGATCTATTATCCGATCCCAAATAAAAAAGACCTTCTACAAAAACTGTACTACTCCCTCCGTCCCGCTATGATTGTCCCATTTTACCATTTCGGTCCGTCCCACTAAGATTGTCCCATACCTTATTTGGTAAAGTTTGTGTGGTTCCAAAACATTCCTACTTTATTCTTACTTTATCAATTCAATATCAACCACATAAACCCACTTTTATTAAAAATCGTGCCACCTTCTCTTGTCCCAAACTTAGGGGGACGGAGGTAGTATACTTTTGTTAGGCGTGGCACCGAATCAGATTTATACCGGGTGAAGGCTCATCCACGTCCACCAGTTAATTTTTCATAATCCACCCACCCGCCCATCATCCATTAAAAATTACATCCACATCCAACTCATCCATCATGAACGGATTATCGGGTGGATCAGGTGAGTAACGGGTGAATATAAATGGTCTAACTTAAAAGACAAAATAAATAAATTATGAAGAGAAGTCGACAATTTAAAACCAAAAATTAAGAATTCATTGAATAGTAACATCAAAAACTTGAGCAACTAAGTATATTACAATCATTAATTCACCGCCGATAAAGAAGGAACTGATTGTTAAACAAAAAGACATAAAACTTCTTCAAGCTGTCAAATTCTATATTTCTACATCGGCACTAAACTGTTTTTGTAATTCAACTGACACTCCTTGAAACTCTTCAATTGTTTTTATTTCACGAATTCATAGATGTGTGTCTTCTCCATTAACAAATACATGTCTATTAACATATTATTATTAATTATTTTATACTCCGTATATTATTAAATAGATATTATATATAATATGATATGTATGTATATTTATATGCGGGTTAGCGGGTAAGTGGATGGAGCGGGCGACGGGTCAGGTGATGGGTTGGATGAATGTTCATCCACACCCGTTTCAACCCCTCTTTCAATCCACCCGTCATCCATTTCTCATCCATACTTTTCGGGTTTTCATCCATATTTTCGATTCAAGTAGACCGGGTATCCGCGGGTGCGGGTGATAGTGCCAGCCCTAACTTTTGTACTTTCAAATTCAAATCGACCCAGAAGGTCAGTACAAAATAACGACATTTAGTGTTCCTTTTGGATTAAAAAATGCCCCTTCAAAATTCCAGAGAATTATGAATGAAATCTTCAATCTATCCTCAAAAATTTGTATTGTCTATATTGATGACGTGTTAATTTTCTAAGTCGATCTATTGAACAACATTTTAAACATGTAAAAACATTCTTTATGCTTACTAAGAAAAATGAATTGCTTGTTTCAAAATCTAAAATTTCCTTTTTTAAAACAAAAATAAGATTTTTAGGACATTATATAGAAAAGTCCTTACCTTTGCGGACAAATTTACTGACAAAATTATGGATTAAACCCAATTACAAAGCTTCTCAGGAACTCTAAACTACGTCTTAGATTTCTGTCCAAATATTTATTGGATGGCAAAACCTCTTCACGATAGATTTAAGAAACAAAGAAAACCCCCACCACATCGACAGAGGAGGATACCAAAAACAGTTCAATTAATTAGAAATCAATGAGTTGATCTAAAGGCTATAAACTCACAATGATCATTCGATGAGTTGATCTAAAGGCTATAGACACACAGTGACATTTTGACAATAAAACCGAACTTTTTTCGGATGCAAAACTTTGACGATAATATGCAACTTCTTATTTCATTGCAGAATAATATGCAACACTTTGAACGTTAATATGCGATACAAATAGCATAAAGATACGTTATACAAATATATGCACAATAAACACTGTTTGTACATGATCCACCTTATATACATACAAATATATATAGCATTATTCCGATCAAGAATATCATGACCGGAGCCCCGTCCGTCCACCTCGTTTTGAGGTGGTTTCAAGTGATATATTTTGCTTAATTGTTTTTAGCATGATCCTCATGAAGTGTAGATGATCTCCACCAAATTTGACCAAAACAATTAACCGGGAAGGCAGTCAAATGATTTTTGGAAGATAACTGCGCCAAAATATACATATAAACACAGATATCTTCCAAAAATCATTTGACAATCTTACCGATTGATTTTTGGGGTAATTTGAGTTTGCACCCCATATTATTGTCTAAATTGGACTTTGCACCCCGTTTTTTAAAATCTTTGTTTTACACCCCAACCCCATATGAAAAGACAAAAATGCCCTCAATATGGAACATGTTGAAGGCCATAAAAATTGTTAATGGAGGGGCGTTTTCATCTTTTCATAAGGGGTTAGGGTGCAAAATCAAAGATTTTTAAAAATGAGGTGCAAAGTCCAATTTAGACAATAATATGGAGTGCAAACTCAAATTACCCCTTGATTTTTTTGATCAAATTTGGTGGGGGTCATCTGCACTGCATGAGAAACGTGTTCAAAACATTTGAGTAAAGAATACCACCGGAAACCACCTCAAAATGAGGTGGCCGGACCGGGCTCTGGTAAGGAAATTCCTGACTAGAATATTTGTGATGTGTGTGTGTCTGGTTAAAAGCGCAGATATCTTCAAGAATTCATTTGAATGCCTTCCCGATTGAATTGTTAGCTGAAATTTGGTATGAGTAAACTAGACTTAATGAATAAGATGCTAAAAAAATTTCATCAAAAAATTCCACCGGGAACTGCCTCAAATGATGACGGTCGGACAGAGCCGACCTCCTATATAAGGGCTTATTTGACCTTTTATGTAAGTTCGAGGGCCTATTTTACCCTTTTCCAGGGGCGGCCCTGGGGGGGGGGGTGCAAGGGGGGCGGGCGCCCTAGACCAAAAAAAAATTGATAAAAAATAGGCCCAACTTTAGTTGTTTGTAATAGGTGTGAGTATGCTCATTTTCCCGCGCTAAAATAACAATTTTTCGGGTGGAATTGGTTGAAGTTATTCGGAATGGATTTTTTGGGTGAAAACTTATGATCATGTTCTATATGAAGTGTAGCTTATGTAAAAAACCCAGCTTAAACTTCAATTCAGAAGTCAATTATTGAATAACACTGCGTTTGTATACAAATTTTGGTGCATTGTTTTTCAGTAATTTATTTAATTGACTTCACGGTTAAGTTTTAAATTGAAATTTTATGAACATAATGTACACTTGATGAAAAACATCCTCTTAAAATTTCATAAAAAATTCACTCGAAAACATATTAGTGTCTTATGATTATTTGATTAGTTTATT